ATCTTGTGGTATATTTTATTTTTTTAATACAACATGCTATGTGGTAAAAAAATGAAATGCAAAAATATCGTTTTTTTTGTCCGCGGGGAGTCCGGAATACGGAACTTATTTAAGATTACTAACCAATGGTGAAAGTTTTATTAGTAGCTAGTCTCTTGGCTCTTAATTGCTTCGTGCAGTTTTTTCTCTTTCTATTGAGCCGCAATAAATATCATTCTTTTCACCTTTTAAAAGTTTTATTTATTTTTTTCATTTAACACTTATTTTTATGTGCTTCAATATTCTTAATAAAAGTTTATATCAGAATACAGCAAATACATGCGAATTTACAGGAGTGATTGTTTTCCAAGCTATTAAAGAAGTATATCGCTGCAAAATTTTGAGTTCAAGAACCTTATCAAACTCATCAAGAGTGCTTTCACTGCATCTTATACCTACGAAAAGGAGATTTTATCTTTTGTTTTATCTAATGATAAATAAAAGAGTGCGACAGAAGTTATGCAAATTTTTTTTAATCGTAGCTGAAAAAATAAATAATTCTAAGCTTCTTATTGGAAAATAAAATTCTTAATTTACCTAGAATATCTTACGTCAGAGTTCAAATATTTCTTGAATGGATTAGCTGTCAAGTTCGTTCTAGTCTATCTCAACTGATTTTCAAGTAGAAGTACATGTGCTCTACCCATTCCATGGGTCATTTCTCCAAAAACAACCATACTAACATCGATAAAAATGTTAACTAGTGTTCAAAAATATGGGAAAAAACAGTGAATTCGCTCACAGTTCCATGCGAATCGCCCATAAGTGATTCTCAACATATGAAATAATGTTTACAGATAGAATTCGATGTACTCTATCGATTCCACTTCTCTCTAGCTCGATTCCAATGTAGCATTTATGAGAGAATTGCTAGTTAGTTCTTTAATCATGTACAGTGTAAAGATAATTCAGCCATCAGTTTCTTTATTTCAATCAAGCAACGTAAGCGAAGGAAAGAAGACGCAATTATTTTGCTAATAATATCGGTGTGTAGTCCATTTGTATATATATGGAGAAAAGGAACAAAATCTAATGGCTCATTTCATTCGATCAATAACAAGAAGAGAACGAAACAGCTTTTCCCTTCAACTTGACGACGACATCAAGAAAAAAGCATTTATTCGCTTTTCTCTTTTGGCCAATAAGCATGGAATATAGTAAGATGTCGCGCACTTCTTTGTGATTAACAGTAGTAATCAAAAAAATTGTTCTTAGAAATATTAAAAAATATGAATTCGAAAAAACGGCACTTCTACTGATGGACGACACACTCTATATTAATTTGTTTAACTGGTAGGGCATATCAAAGAGGGTGAGTGCCACAATTAGGATTGCCAGATCTTCCGATATGGCAGGAAAAATTCTGATTTTCGAAGTTTTTTCCGACAACTTTCCGACGTTCCAATCCCCTTTCGATTTCCTAATTTTTCTCCGATTTTTGGAATTCTTTATGTAAATTCAAGTTCTTAGAATATTCTACAATAATTTAACGATGACTCGCTACTGCATATATATTGTGATCTGTTTCACTATAATTAATTATGGGGTGATGCAACGTCATGAACTCAACAAAGCACACTTCGGTGCTCTGAAAGCTCATCCTCCAATAAAATTAGGATGTTTTACAGGCACCAAAGATCCAGTTTTCTATTGCAATGAACTAATTTTCTCTGTTCGTTTACTATACTGATAGTTAAGAATATTTTCCTTGTTGAGTATTTTTTGTTTCATTGCAGATATAATAAAACTAATCTTAATCGTATGGGTACTAAATTAACTGTTGCAGAATTGAAAATCAGAATGAGTTCCGTTTATCCTTGTGAGCATTTTTATGAATATCTCTTACCTCAACCTGGTGTTTTGAATAATATTCGAGCTAAGAAATATAAACAAAAACGGACGTTATACAGAATAAATCTTGGTTTCTCGTCCACAAGTTTTGTGAAATGCATGTGTGTGTATGAATTTACAATGTGGACTCTATTCTTTGGTCAAATTGGCTATAATATTTTTGAAAAAAACCAATGTGATCCTGTTTAAATGATTTATGTGAATTTCTTAGTAATGAGTAAATTGTCTATGTAAATTTACATTTTCTTGAATTGTTTATGAAATATCTCATCAGATATTGTTTTGAAAAATTAACAGAAACAAGATAAAAGATATTGTCCTATTCGAAAAAGCAGACTAGCTATTTAAGCATTAAAAAAATACTCTCCGATTTTTTTCCGATTGTAAGAACAAAAAATTCCGCCATTTTTCTGAATTTTAGGAAAAATTTTTCCAATTTTTTAATTTTTGATTCGGCAACCCTGACCCACACCCACACCCTATTGTTTTTGTCATATAAACACAAATGTGATGTTGGATCAAAATATGCTAATCTCTACAAAGAGCCATAAAAAATTACGTGAATACATATTTTTTTTTAAATAGTGAGTGTTCTACATGGAATATTGGATTGCAAATATAATTGAGAATTCAACCTGGCAGAGATAGTATACTAGTCATTCTCTTTAGTTTTTACTCGTATAATCCACAGTGTGGACTCTAACAACATGTTGTCTCAAAAAACTAATTTTGTTTCTTTTTCTAACTGTAGCATATGTGACAAAATCATGGGGTTAATATATCAGCGCCCACTATTTTCAAATACATCGAACTTTCTTCTTTTTATCATACTTTTCTGAGAGATCGAGTGTTATACCTTTTAGCTAAACATTTTACAATGGGCTTCGTCAAAAGAGCTTAACTTTTTTTTAAAAAGCATCTAATTATGTATACTACATACAAGATAACTTCCTTTTGCACTATACTAGTCCTTTGTTCTATGTATTGAGCTGATAGAAATGAAATATATAATTTTTCAAAACATTGATCGATTAAATCTTATGCGCAGAGAGGAGCAAAAGCGTCTAATATTTTCCCTACAAAAATAATATAGAAGTTTATGACTAAAAAAAAACTGGTACTTAACAGATTGTCTTCATCATGAACCTACAAATAAATTGGCGAACATTGCGATTCTCATTAAAACGTTGTAAGAAAAAACAAAGAAAATATGTTTTTCATGAAATTCACCTTTAGTTCTTTTCAAAGTCAATATGACCAATGAACTCACAGCAATATTAACCTGGCATTTTTAGAGATAATTAATACAGCGCATCAAATTTGTGAGTGCATACCTACATCTGGATACTCCTGGAAGCTAGAAGATCTTGGATGATTCTAGAGTCGTACGCAAATTTGGTGTCTAGTATGATCATGGTAAATGGTGCTTTTATCGAAATAAAGTTAATTACATAGTTGCAGAGCTAGACTTTTAGCCAGCTTTTTACAGACACATAGCATTACATCTTTGCAACCGTTCACATGAACTTCACCAAGTATGATCTTTATAAAATAAATTCAAAGGGACAAGAACTCAAACAATTCAAATGGAAGCTATCTTGTTCTCAATATACATGGACATATGCTTCTATAATAAACTTTAGCTCTTTTGGTTTAGTCAACTTGAAATATTCAATCTATAGTATGTTTAAAGATACAATCTTTTAGAAAAATTTTCAAGACCAGGTTTCAGCATTGTAAAAATTCACTAATTCCCACTCTCATCTAAATAAGTGCGCTTATCAATAATTTAATTGGAGAACAAAAATCTCTGGTCAATTCTTAGCTTCACTCTGTGACAGTCGCTGCGAGATGTGTTTACTTGTCTATAATTGAATAATTTTAAAGATATAGGAGAATATGTTGTTTCATGTTTTACGCATTACTCAATTTAATTAAGACGTCTCGGATAAATCATACTAAAAGATAAATCACATGTTAAATATTTTAAAGATTTCAGTGGGTCATATTATAATTGTGCAATGGAATAGAAACAATCTTAAATATGATCGATACAATCTAGTTTCGATAGTTTCTGTATTCTATTCTAAAAATTACTGTTTAAAAAAGTTATCTAAATATCTGTATTTTGAAATATTCTTATTCCTATCAGTTCCTACTTCATAGTGTCTGAAATGCGTCATTTTTTGAGCCAACTCCATTAGACTTACTTTTTTCATGACTTGATCCGATTCGAAATAAACTTTACTACTTGATTCTAAAACCAACAAAGTTCAAAATCAAATCAGTTAATTCAAAGAGTTTTAGAATTTTTAATAACAGAGGTCCATTTCCATTGACATACTGCTTCTATTCATAACTATAATTTATGCTTAGAATATTCGATCGACAGTACTAAATGGACTCAATTGATATTTAGAATTTAAAATAAGTTAATTTTATAAAGACTCATTAGAATTAGCTCTACTTTAAAGTTCGAATTGATGAGAATCAAGTCTAGTTGAAACGTTAGTGATAACTTACTGATATTAACAAGCTGTACTAGTTAAAATCTATATCATATTGGATAGGCATAAAATTGTAGTTTACTACTTACTTGTAAATGATGAATTTGTTCAGAATTAGAAAAAAAGTACTTGTTTAATTTCTCGGCTAATAATCTTTTAAAATTTTTACTTTGTTCAGTACATTTATCCTTCTTAGCACAATAGCTTTTAATTTCATGTATAGCATAAGACGACAAGTCAATTGTAGCATATTCTTTTCCAGACATCATTTTAGTTGCAAGAAAAAATGGTCTTAAAACAAAATGTAATGCTGACAATAAATCCCAATTTTCACTTGTTAATTCAATTTTTGCTAACTTGGACACTTGGTCTTTTCGTAAATTTAATGACCACTTATCAGTAAACAATTTGATAATTACGTGTTTGAGTTCAATAATAGCATCTATTAAATTAAACGTTGAATTCCATCTTGACGGACAATCATTACTAATATTTTTTTTGGGGTTTCATTGGATCCTGTTCTTTACGAACAAAACGTGATATCAATGAAGATTTCTTCAAAATTTTTGCAATAGCACGACATTTTTTTAGTACTTGTAGAATTCATTTTTGTGGTTGTGTTAAATTGACGAGATCTTTAATAACATTCGACCAGCTATCATTCATTAATTCAACAATATCTTGTTCATTAATAATTTCATCATCATAGAAATATGTTGTTCCACTAAATTCAGCATTGGCTGTAGCATCAATAGTATCATATGTATCTGTTTCATCAATTAAATCAACACGGTTAATGTTCCATGAATCTAAAAAATACAGGATAATGAATTAAATACATTCTTTTCAGAGATTTTTACGAGAAGAGAAAAGATTGATTATTATTTGTAACAGTGCAAAGCACTATTATTAAATGTATATTAGATATGAGCACAGGACAGGACAAAAAAGTAGTCATGTGCTTACCACTAATATATGTGTATATATACTCGTATATATGCATCGAAAAAACCTTACCATCATTTAATTCAAGATCCCATTCTACATCCATGTTTTCTTGTTCAATTTCTTGATCAGTAACAATAGATGTTGTAGTATTAAATGTCAAAATATTTGCCGATGAATAACCAGGTTCATCAGTATGTTTCTTCTTATCAGACATCCAAAATCCTAAACCATTAATGACCACCAAGTGAAGCCTATGAGCATAGCACCAAATTCTAAAAATGTCTTCATTTAACAGCTCGCAAGCTAAAACCAAATTTTCAGCACCATCGCAAGTAATACAAAAAACTTTTTCATAAACACCCAAATCAATCATTTTTTCTCTTAAAACTTTTGCAATTTCAATAGCTGTATGTCGTTCGTTGAAGCAAGAAAAATCAATGATTTTCGAAATAGAATCAAGAGAATTATTCATCCAATGACCTGTAATACAAAGAAATGATTCATTTTTTCGATTTGACCAGAAATCAAGTGTAATGCTCAATCGATAAACTGTTTTTAATTCTTCTTTCAATAGATCATGATGATGTTTGTTTAAATCTTTTAAATGTCGAACAACTTGATTTCTATGTGGTGGTTTGTAACCTAAAGAAAATTATCACATAATAAAATAGATGATAATACAATTTTTTAATAAATACTAATAGTAAAGCATTGACATCTGTTTTTTCGACATAGTTTGCCCGATTAGTTTAGACATCTAAGGAAATACATATTTATTAACAGTTAACAATGACTAATGCTGAATCAATATATTGCAATTTGTGCAATAATATCAGGAAATGTAGTATTATCAAAAGTTTTGAATGCAAAA